GTGTGAAGATGACTACAGAGCTCATTGTGTACAGTAATGAACGGAAAGAGCAAGCGAAAGACACCTAGAAATCACATGATTTTATTTATTGGCGTGTTGTTAGCTTTGGACATGGTTTTTAAGTATGCATTGTGGTTTTGGTGTTTGGTAGTATGCTATCTGCGTGGATTTTTTTGGGGTTTTTGTTTTCTGATTTTTAACGGTCAGACACAGAGTCTTGTGGTTTTTCATGTTCAGATCAAACAAGTTATGGCGTTGCAGTTTTTGGATGTTGGTATTTTTTTCTGAATGGGTGCTTGCGTTATAGTTTATGTGTGACTTGATGGTAGTTTTATATTGCATTGGTGCAACGTTTGTATCATGTGTTTTTCGTTAGATGGTGTTTGGCAGGGTTTCTGATGGTTTGGGTTTTCTTCATGATTTTTTTAGATGATGGCCGTGTGCTTATGGCGCGTTTTACACTGCCGTGGGTGTTTAGCTACTGAAGTGAACTGGCATATTGCTAGCATTGTTGTGGGAATTGTGTTGTGGTTTAGGGTGTGGGAGGTTGTAATTGTGGTGCGGGCAGTGTACCTGGCTTCTTTAATGAAGTGGCACACTTCATTTGTTGGGATGGGTATATTGGGTTGGCTCGAAGTGTGAGCTTGCAGTGTGTCAGAGTTAGTTTTGGGGTACAGATTCGGATACACTTTGGTATGGGCAGAGTTACTTTGGTATACAGGTTTTTTTTACTTAGAAGGCCGCTGTACTTATGCGGTATGAAAGCAATGTATCCAACCTCGCCGTTATAGATGTTCGTAATGGTGTGACAAGCTTCAGATGTGGTTGTGGCCGTTGTGTGTAACGTTTTCAGTGTGTGGTGTGAGTGTGCACAAATGTGGAAACTGGGGGTGGGGCTTGGGTACACACTGTCATTTATTTCTGGGGTCTGGGTGGGTTTCACATGCTTTAAATTTGCGGTGTGTTAATTTGGGGGCTTTTGTAGTGGCTCACTGCCTTGATGTGTTATGTTAGTAAAGTCGGGGGTGTTTTACATTGATATGTGGAGAGCTTTTTATTGTAGTTGTTTGGTGGGTAATATTGAGAAGGCAGTGTAGTCTGTTTCTCGTTTTTAGTGCGGTGTACGTCGGTTTTTTTGTGTGTGCAGTGTAACGTATAATGTTTGCGGGCGTGTAATGAATAGTAAAAAAGTTTTTACGGCATGGAATTTTGACTGCGGTGGGGGTGAAAAATTATTATTTTTCCATTCTTTGGCAGTGCTAGTATGTGGGTAAATTTGAATCACTGAGATTGTTAAATTTGCATAATATGGCTAAATTTTTAAAAGAGTGTTGATGAATTTGTATACCATATGATTTAAATATGCAAAAAAACAATGCAACCATTCAAGAAGTTCGTTACTAGACAGTGATCTCTAAAAGGATGTGTTTTTTAGTTTATTACATGTGGAAAGAAATTAGAAATGAATTGAAAAAGGCTAAAATTGGAATATTAGAAAATGAAATGGCGTTGGAGGTGCTAAAAAGGTAAGAAATGAGATGGGGGGTGCTATGTATGTATTTTATAATAGTAAATGGTGCTATATTGGATGATTTCTATATAAGTAACTGGTTGGGCGATTCATTCAACCTCATTAGTATGAGGCCTTTTGGGAGGTGTCCAAAAACAAATCTGTGAGGACTTGGCCCAGAGCGGACAATATCATACTAATGCGGGGTTGGGGTGAGGGCATGCGCAATCCCATCAATATATATGAGGTATGAAAAAGTAGGGATAAAAATAATTTTTTTAATAGAAAGTGGAAGTATTTTAGAAAATTAGAAAAAAACGAAAGAGGAAGGGTTTTATGAAATGTGGAAGTATTTGTTTAATTTTCTTTTAAAGAAATAATTAAAGAAGTATTTAAAGAATAAAACAGTTTAAGTGCTATTTAGAGAAATGACTTAAGTTTTAGTGTTATTTAATGCAAATATTTTCATAATTAAATAAATACTCCGTACTCCGTATGTGATTGATGTGAATTATTTTTTCTCAATATAAATCATAACAACACATATCCCATTTCTTTAAAAATTGTATTAAGTCAAACTAAAAAGACATTATATTCCCTTCGTTCCACAAAACCCTTCCTCTTTCGTTTTTTTGCTTTCCACAAAACACTTCCACTTTCTATTAAAAAACCACTTTTACCCCTACTTTTTCATACCCTAACTATCACATCATATTTTTCCACTAATAACCAAACTATCACATCTTACTTTTTCGCATCACATCAGGGGCAAAATTGGAAAGTCAACCAAAATTCTTATTTTTCCCTAAAGTCAAAACTGGAACGGTTCTGTGGAACGGGAGGGAGTATTAACGTGCCTGTGAAATGACTCCAAGGACGCCTAGGGAAACCCTAGCTGCATTGATCTCCGGGTCATCTTCCTCAAGTTGCCGGACGGCGGCATAGCCCTCCTCCGGCGACGCCGGAGTCACAATTCGAACCCGAACAACGTGATCATGAAAGGTGCTGCCCGGGCCCCATAGCGTGCTCCCGTGAGCTCCGGTACCCATCATTCCCCCCACCGTCACCCCCCGCCAGTACGGCGTGTGAGGCAGCGCCAGCCCCGCCTCCGCCGCGTCGTTGATCAGTTGCCTGAGACTCACTCCGCTCTCCACCGTCATGGTCATGCTCTGCCTGTCGACTTCTAGCGTTCGGTTGAGGTGCATTGTGCTGATGAGGAGACCGTCGCCGCTGCCGCTGCCAGGGCACGCCAGCTTGGGGATGCTGTGGGAGGACCAGGTGGCGGCCTTCATCTTTCGGTCCTCCCTGGCGGCAGCGGCAACAACGGCGATCAGCTCGTCCTCCGTTCTGGGGTACGCAGCCTCAGCCGCGCGGCAAATGCTACGATCTGGGAAAGCACCGTAGGAGTTGGTGAGGGTGCAGTTTTTATTAGTTGAGTGGTTGGTGCATTTGATGGGGTCATCCGATGGGGTGGAACGGACTGTTACGGGACTTATTATTATTATTATTACTATTATTATTATTATTATTATGGTAAGGAATTATTTATAGTTAGTTATTTATTGTTAGGGAATAATATATTTGTTAGGTGATTATTTAGTTTCCTAGTTTATTTAGTTACCTTTTATAATTAGGATTCTTAATTTATTTAGTTACCCTTTATTATTGAGATTCTCTAGAGTTGGAGCCTATAAATGTATCCATCACCATAGTATTATCAATGAATGAATAAAGAAAATACTTTCTTCTAAACCTTAATCTCTCTCTTTCTCGCCTCTTTTGTTCTTGGAGCTTGAAGGTGCTCGAAATCCTTTCCTATCCCGATACGATACCGTATCAATACGATACCGTATCACGGACTTGGAGCAATAGTATAGTGACGAAAATGTGGATACTAATGGGGAAGATCACTTGATAGCATATATGTCTTCTTCTTCTTCTATCTTTATTAAATCTCTTGAGTGGGAGAATATATAATAAAGCTGTGAGGGAGCTAGCTAAGATGAGAGGGTTCATTGTATACTGAAATGAGAGGGACCTTGGATTAAAATGAGAGATTACTTAAGATTAATGACACTGAAAGTCTAAGAAGAGAGGGTACTTATTTATACTACATATTTTATACTAGCCATTAGTGTATGCTCTCGCTCAACTAGTCGAATGAGAGAATGTCAAACTCTTTGATTCTAGGGTCGAATCTTGACAGCGGCAATGTTAGAGTTCTATTATTTGTAATAACTCTATGTGCGCACCGCGTACGGAGCGGTCTTTTTAAGAATCAGATTGAGATTATACTATGATTTACTTTTACATAATCATGTGGAGCGCTTGTGGTGCGCGTTCCACCTTTTTACTAGCCATTGGTCTATTAAAGTGTGTCCCTAGTAGTATGATTTTTTTTTAAAAAAAGTTTGTCCTAGTAACTACCATGGTAATACATTGACCATAATGGCCCCAACTTATTTTACTCCGATCCGTCATCACTACGCGTTATGACTTTAATTGTATCACTTTGGCAATTTTGTCAAAAGAATCCAATTGGTGAGTACCTTTTATGCCACCTCTTGGCCGGTCCTTTCCTAATCAAAATAATTTTAGGTAGTGTTTGGTAAATATGATTTCATTTCAATTCATGTATTTCAATTCCAAAATTTGAAATCTTGAATTTCAAATGACAAGAAAATGTGCATAAATTTCAAATTAAGCTTTGTTATGAATGACAAAAATTTGACTCAAATCCAAATTTAAAATTTTTAGGTTTCCCAAACATGGAATTTGAACCAAATCCGGATTTGAAATTCAAATCCACGTTCCCAAACATGCCATTATGTAATTGAATTCAAAACTTATTCAGTCGTGTTGAAGTAGCGATGTAAATTTTAGTGATTTTTTTGAAATAATGACGTGCTAAAAAGAACTTGGGAGTAATAATATTACATTATTGGCCAAACCTGGGCGCAATATTGTATAACCGGTCCAGATGTTGCTATATACACCCTCATTATGGCTGCATCCACTCTATTTATGGCTAAGGCTCTGTTCCGTAGGTCTGATCTGATTAAATCTGATCTGAATTTTGGAAGTTCTGATCTGATTCGGTCTGATCTGATCTGACTAGGTCTGATCTGATTGGATCTGATCTGATCTAATTAGGTCTGATCTGATTGGGTCTGATCTGATCTGATTGAATCTGATCTGATCTGATTGGATCTGATCTGATCTGATTGGATCTGATCTGATTATATCTGATCTGGTGTACATGAATATAAATTTGGTTAAAATTAAACTTATAATTATTACAAGAAATAATATTAATAATTTTAAAGTATTAAAATCCATATATAAATAGAAAAACGTAAAATAAAAATATCATTAACAATAACTAATTATTAATATATTATTAAAAATTGCTTTAAAATACAAAAGATCTTTTGAATATCACTATTTTTTATCTCTGTTAAAACACAATAATCAAATTCTCTTTATATAGTAAATAGAATGTATTTTTACCTGGTATAAAAATAACCAAATGTTAGAAAAAAAGGATGTCCCTCAACAAAACTACAACAGTGTTTATGCATTTTGCATACTAATATTTCATGTTACAAATTACAAATCACATAAAATTTTAGCCACTAATATTCTCTTCACCTCCACAAACTGAATCCCAAATTTCTTTTGCTATATCTTCTTGCACGGTTTTCATTAGGTCCTTGCGTTCTGTGTTGAATAGGGTAGTATCAATATTTTTAACTTTACAAAGCGTCTTTTTAAATACTCCGTATAATACAAGAATCATTTGTTCAACTCTCCTTTAATAATATGGAGCAGTAATAATAATAATAATAATAATAATAATAATAATAATAATAATAATTATAATAATAATAATAATAACAACAACAACAACAACAAATAATAATACTAATTTTTATTGTATTTTTTTCTGGTCTGATCTGATTAGATCTGATCAGATCTGATTGGATCTGATCTGATCTGATTGGGTCTGATCTGATCTGATTGGGTCTGATCTGATCTGATTGAATCTGATCTGATCTGATCTGATTGGATCTGATCTGATCTGATTTTAATAAGAATAAGTAATAAGCAAAAAAAATAAGTCCTACGGAACGGACCCTAAGTGGACAATTTTGCCTTTAAAAACTTATATGGAGTCAGGATATTCCATGTTAGCCAACTTTTAATACGTAGTATCAAATTTATCCATTATATTTTCCATAAATGGAGGTGATTTAGCTATTATGGCAGTGAATATAGCAACACCCATCGGTCAAATCTATTAAGTTTTAAAATTATTTAGAATATAGTTTTTTCTAAAGTACATTATTCTTAAATGACATAAATGTAACTTTAATTTAAATGTTAGATATAGACAATTATTATGTTTTATAAAAAAAATTCAACTTGTGGGGTGCAATTGAAGGGTGTGAGGATGTGTTCGGGTCGGGGCGGGGTGAAGGGGTTTACCGGGGGGTTAGGAGGGTAGGAACCGTCAATTTCACGAACGAGACACCGGAGCACCCCCGAGTTATCCCATGACATTGGTTCCCAATATAATGGGAACCTTGGTGTATAAGAATGGGCGAATTTATACACCCAAGAGATCTTGAGATTATTGGTGTATAAGAATGATCAAAATTTTGTATTGAAATCGTGAAAGAGAAATTTACTTAAATAGGACTAAAACATAATGACTTTCCCAATATAGGACCATATATTTTTATTTCCCAATGTAGGACCTTTGGTCATTATCACGAAGTCATTATTCAACTAAATGTGCATCATTGCTGGACATTATTCCTTCCACTAAGTCATTATTAAGTCCTATTTATAGAATAAAAAAGTTTAAGTCCTACATTAGGAAAGTCATTATGTTTTAGTCCTATTTAGTGCAAATTTCACATCGTGAAAAGCCAAACAAAAATATTCAAATAAGATGGGGGAATATTATATATATCTCAAATAATCTCAATTTATCCATGAGGCATAAAACAGTAGCTACCACTCAAGGTAATGTCAATGTGTTTGTATGAGACTCCTAAGTCTCACCGACTACTAGTCTGTCTATCTCTAAAAATCTTTCTCATTTTTTTCCTTTGTTCTAAAATTTCTTTTTCCTTTAAATTAAAAATTATTTTTATCCTTACTAATTTTTTTACCTCTATATAATATCATACTCCCTCCGTTTTCAAAAACTCTTTTTCTTTCATTTTTTCCTTCCAACAAAACACTTTCACTTTCTATTAAAAAACCAATTTTATCCTTACCTTTTCATACCCTACCTATCACATCATACTTTTTTTCTAATATTCAATCTATCACATCTTACTTTTACTCATCACATCAAGGGCAAAATTGGAAGTCAATTACTCCGTACAATTTAACATTTCCTTATTTCTACACAAAGTCAAAATAGGAACACTTTTATAGAACGGATGGAGTATCTTTTTATACTAATAATATACTGATCACAAAAATATTCTTTCGTTAATTGATCACATAAATATTAAAATAAGAAGAAAATTTAAGGATGAAAAAAGTACTCCGTAAGCCAGGCTAGACAAATTTTTTTCATGTATGAGTAAATTAAAAAGGAGTATATATATACTCTTAAGCAAATTTTGTATATATTTATATGATCATGAAAAGTTGCTTATCTTAGCACAAACTCTAGCATCTCTGTATATTTTCCCTGTTTGACAATAATACCCTTTTCTCGGAGCACAATGAGAATCTTGGGAGCAAATGCACAACCCTTCCAAAGCACAGCCCTTCTTTGTAATGGTCAATCCTTCTCTAAGACCCAAAACTTGATCACTCCAAACGCTTGAAAACACCCCTTTAGGATCATACTTGTCCTTAACTTTCAAGAACTCATCAAACTTTGCATACTTGTTTATTGCCCCTAGGAAGGCCACGTTTCTATTCTTCCCCCAATGTGGCAAGGCCCCATACTTGAAAATTGCGAGCTGTTCAATTTCTTCTATGAAGTCTTGATAAAGCCTAGGAGTCGTTGGATCTTTACTCCGGTAGTAGGTAATGTCAAAATCTATAGCATCGTCTTGTTTTCCTAAATATGCACTCGAAGACGTGACGTATCTCATGAGTATGCCATTGTACAACTCCACGCCACACAATGCTTTTGGGTCTAAATTCACCAACTTTTGCACATCTTGTATGAAACCTTTTAATGAGAGTAATAGAATACGTGTTTTACTAAATTATTCTAACTTTTCATATTATGTTATTAATTACCCCATTTTCTTTTTTAACTATATTTAGTATTCATATTTTAGTTAGAAATTCTTATGTATTCTTTGTACATGCTAGTACGTATAAAACCTTCATAATCCTATTATATTTTATCACCTTTCACTTTGGAGAGACTGACGCTGAATGTTGTTTGGTGAAAAAATAATCCCTTGACTCTAGGGTCCCACGGGCAAGCGGTTAGTAATCCATCATTTGGGCTGTCTAGGCAAGTACCCGATGATTGGAGTCGATTTTGGTATCCAATTATAGGGTACCCGGTAAAGATGAGACCTGTGACGACAAAGATATATTTGATGATGAATATTATTGTACAACAAATTAAACTGAAGAAATGTTTGATCCTCTATATACATAATGGTGACATTCAAATGACACTCTCACCAGGAGTGTAATCTAATGACACTAGCTTCAATTAGAGCCAACGAAGCTCTATTCACAAAAGTGATTGTTTCTACCACCCCGTAACAACCTTCCAAAAACGCCCCACCCTGCTCGATCTGAACTCACCTGCAATCCTTTTAATTTCATCACCAAATTTAGTTGGCTTTGAGGTCAATTTTTTACCTCAAAGTCAACTAATTAATTTCGGGTGATGAAATTGAAGGTGTTGTGGGTGGGTTAGGGTTGGATTGGGTGAGGGACTTGTGCGGATGTAATAGAGGGTATGAATGATCAGATTTACGAAGAAAATACGTAGGTGCTATAAAACCTTAGTGAAACCATACTTTTAACGAAACCGCTCCCTATAGATAAATATATAAGAAGTACAAGATATTACCATTGTTGGTAAATCCATATGCAGCAACTTTTATAAGGAATGTGGATGCATTAGCAAGTATGCACTTCCCATTCGCATCATTGATTGCTTCTTGATTTTCCTCTACACAAAGACATTTACATATTCACAAGACTAAGGCTCAATACATACTACGGAGTATTCTGGTAAGTATTTATTTGTTTAGATTTAACTTTTTATCATCAAAATTTCATGAATTAAATAAAATGCAGATTACTTATTGATATATACAAGAGTTATTTTATTAGATTTATCTGGAAAACTATTTTCAAGATATTATTTTTATGTAATTAAAATACCATATAATTTTTATTTTAATTATAGGTCAAAATTTGATCTTAATTGACCGCAAAAAATTAAAACTGGAGGAATGCTCAAGACTAAAATAGTGTTTCTTAATTAATTCATGCATTGTTGAGTTCTTCATCAACTTTCACATGACATCCCACTAAAAAATACTTCATCTGTCTTATAAAACTTTTCAAAAACATAAAAGGCACGCCCTAAAAATGGGTTATTTTCATATTATTTTCTAATTATGACTCATCTATTCTACACATCATATCTTACTTTATTATAAAATAAGAACATAATTTAAAAATAACATCAAAAATGTACTCCTTCCGTCCCAAAAAAATCTTTCTCCTTTCTTTTTTCATCCGTCCCAAAAAACACTTCTCATTTCTATTAAAAAGTCACTTTTACCCCTTACTTTTTCATACCCTACATATCACATCATACCTTTTTACTAATAATCTATTCATAAATCATATTTTTACCCATCACATCAAAGGACATTTTTGGAAATTCAATACCAAAATACATTCCCCTTAAATCCTCTTTCAAAATCAAAACTCCCATGTTTTCCGGGACGGAGGGAGTATATTTTTAGGGTGCATCTTTTTTTTGAAAGTTTGATGAGACAGAGGTAGTACCACTCTATATATGGAGTATCATTTACTTCTTCCGTTTCACAAAACACATCTGCCCTAGTTTTTTAGCACACTCTATAAAACACTTTTACTCAATATAAAATGTCTAAAATATTCTCAACACAATTTCTACCCGTAATAAACTATGAAATAGAAGTGTATTTTAGATATCTTTAGTGTGGTAGAAGTGTTTTGAACGATGCGCGAAAGACTATGATAGAACTATTTTATGAAACGAAGTACTCCGTATTATTTTTTTGTATCGTCAATGAGGTTCAAATGACAGGAGAAGCGTTAATTATTACTCCGGATGGTTAATTAATTACCTGCAGCCCTTGTGAGGCTTAACACGGTTGAAGGAGTGGATCGGAATCCCAAGAAATCGTTGAGACCATAAGAGGGCGCGTTTGTCTTGACCCGATCATCAATGCGCTTAACGACTCTTCTCTGGCTTGGAAACCAAGTCATGTCTGCGAATTCGTGTTGGCACCCAAACGCGGCTGCACCCTCCCCCAACTCCGTGTCATCTTCCTCCACATATGTCATGGCCCGTTTAAACATTGGTTCCAATTTGAGGGTCACCTTTGGTATCAGAATAATGAGTTAATGACCCATATTTTAAACATAAAACGTCTATTTTCAGATGACGCCTGAAAAAAGATATACCACAACAACAACGACCCGGTTAAATCTCACAAAAGCTGGGTCTGTGGAGGGCGTGTGTACGCAGACCTTACCTCTCCTCGAAAGTAAAAAAAGATGTTCCTAAATAACCCCCCTGCTCAAGCATCACATATGTTTAAAACATAGAGTAGTTATTTCTGGATCAACCATTATGAGTGTCAAAAGTTGCATTAATCGACTAACTGCTACTTCACTATTAAAAGAAGCGCAGATAGTTTAAAAATAATTTTGCTCCGTACATGAATCTTAGGTTCTAATTAGAGGGTGTTTGGGAGTGATTAACTTGTGGATAAAGTGATTTTCACAAAAGTTGAAAGCAAAACCACCTCATACCCGCTTCTCCAAAATGGTATTCTATATACTCCCTCCGTCCCAAAAAGTTTTTCCTGTTTCATTTTTTGCGTATCCCATAAAACACTTCTATCCCGCCTTGAATGCCAAAAAAAACTTTCAAAATAACTTCTACCCACAATAAAAAAGAAATGTTGTAAATTTTAGGCATTTTAGATGTCGGTAGAAGTGTTTTATGGGATGCGCAAAAAATGAAAGAAGAAAGACTTTTTGGGACGGAGGGAGTACAAAATAGTGGCGGTGAAAAGCAGAAGTTGAAATGCCAAACAGAGTAAAATCACTTCCATTCAAAGCAAAAGCTAAATTATTAAAAGCAACGCAGTGCCAGACACCCTCTTAGTGACAAATTAAAGAACACATTTCATTTATATAATTAAAAAAAGGATTAGAACAAATATTAGAGCATTTAAATGAACATAATGCATGCAATTAAAAGAAAAAAGATCTCCCCAATTTAAACGAACACATTGAAGGCAAAGTGCGTGGAATAAAAAAAAATACAGAGCTTTTATATAAACATTTATGAAGAGAAAAGATAAAAGCACTTTTAACCCAATCACAAAAAATCAAAACATGAAAATATGCACAAAAAATTAGAGCAAATAAAAAAGAGAGATTTACTTAAATAGCACTAAAACATAATGACTTTCGTCCCTAAATAGCAGCGCATGTGTTTTTCTTTCCAATGTAGTACTTTTAGTCATTATGCATTAGTCATTATTGAAGTAAATATTCGCCATCACAAGACATGATGGACATTATTAAGTGTTATTTAGAGAATAAAATAATTAAAGTGCTATTTAGAAAAATGATTTAAGTTTTAGTGCTATTTAGTGCAAATATTTCAATAGAAAAAGATGAACATTGGTTACAAATTGCTTTGGACATTATTGATGATAACTAATGAAAGTAACACTAACCCATATTCTCGTGAACTTATTTTTTATTACTTATTTTTATTGGAATCGGACTCATAAATAGCTTTAAATATAATTACAATGACTTAAAGCACTCTTATGCCCGACTATGATATATGAGAGCAGTGGCAATACCTCTAACGCCCAGCGGCGTTATGAGGCATTTGACGCCTGGGAGGCGTTAAACATCGCCCCCTCCCCCGTTATAGCTGCGTTAAAACTTATGCGTCATATCTTTGACGCAATTTGAAGGCATTTTGACGCCTTCTTTTTCTTTTTCTCCCCTCTTTTTTCCTCTTTTCTTCTCTATAAATTAAATTAATTTTTTTTAAAATTCAACACAAATACAAATTTCTCTCTATCTATCATCTTTTTAAAAAAATTATTATTCAAGTATTTTTTATTTTGTCATGAATATAAATTTTTTATTTAATGAATGTAATTTTTTTATTTAATGAATGTAGTTTTTTTATAATGAATGTAATTTTTTTATTTAATGAATGTAATTTTTTTTATTTAATGAATTTAATTTTTTTATTTAATGAATGTAAGTTTTTATAATGAACGTATTTTTTAATGAACTATTATCGTTTCAATTCTTTTAAATAATTAAATAGTTAAATTTTATTAATTTAAGTTTAGAAGATGTGTATTTAAAATGTAAAAATTAAAAAATGAAGGTTTGAAGCCCCAGTTTGAAGCCCCGGGGCTTCAAATCCATTTCCACTGAAACTGTGAGGTAAATAAAGCTGACGTGGCAGAAAGAAGGTTTGAAGCACTGGGACTTTATGGATATTTCTAGTGCCCTGATGCAACTTTATTTGTGAAAAAAATGAAAGAGACTAACATATACGGAGTAGCATACCTGTGAAATCACTCCAAGGACGCCTAGGGAAACCCTTGCTGCATTGATCTCTGGGTCATCTTCTTCAAGTTGCCGGACGGCAGCATAGCCCTCCTCCGGCGACGCCGGAGTTACAATCCGAACCCGAACAACGTAATCATGAACAGCGCTTCCGGAGCCCCATAAAGTGCTCCCGTGAGCTCCGGTACCCATCATCCCGCCCACCGTCACCCCCCACCAGTACGGCGCATACGGCAAGGCCAGCCCCGCCTCCGCCGCGTCGTTGATCAGTTGCCGGAGACTCACTCCGCTCTCCACCGTCGCCGTCATGCTCCGGTTGTCGACTTTCAAAGTCCGGTTGAGGTGCATTGTGCTGATGAGGAGACCGGTGCCGTCGCTGCCGCCGGGGCACGCCAGTTTGGGGATGCTGTGGGAGAACCGGGTGGCGGGTTTCATCTTCCGGTTCTCCCTTGAGGCGGCGGCGATGACGGCAACGAGCTCCTCCTCCGTTCTTGGATACGCAGCCTCTGCCGCGCGGCAGAGGCTGCGATCCGGGAACGCGCCGTAGGAGTTGGTCACGGTGCAGTTTTTATTGGTTGAGTGGTTTGTGCATTTGATGGGATCATCCGGTGGGGTGGAATGAACAAGGAGCAAGAAGAAAATGTGCATAATAACGGCGAAGATCATTTGGTAGCCCATCTTTTTTATTCTTTAAATCAAATCTATGGGGTGGGAGAAATATTTAAGCTTGAAGAAGATGAAACATAAATGGGAGCTAGCTAGGGACCATTATTGATTAAAATGACACGTACAAATGGTCTTCTATGTTACAACTACCCAAGTAACCACAATGGTAATATATGGCATGCATGTCCCATCAATATTCAAAAGGTATACATACACGATTTGTTTTCTTTATGTTGCAAGTTAGCTTACACCTACCTTCAAGTCTTTATCCTTATGGAAAAACTAGTCCAACCATATCTATCCAATTGTGAACCAAAAGATTTTCCCAATTATTTTAATGGTATCAGAGTAAATTTTCGATTATTGATACCTCAAACTAACACGGTTCGAATCCCTTGATGGGGAGCATAAAACAGTTCAATACCTGATGGGCCGCTACCAACTAGGGAGCCCAAACCATGTGCCCACGAGCGTTTTGGAATCTGTGGATATCCCAATGTTAGCGTTGGACCGACCCAAAGTATTGGGCCTGAGCTGACCTGGATGAAGGAGCCGCTGGCGACACACTTGTTGGTGACACGGTTGCGGGAGATGAGCCGCAGAATTTGGATCGCGCAATTTGCGGGAATTACCTTCTACGTAGTATAATTAATAATTGCCTTAATTATGTCAAGAGATATGTGTAAATAGGAGGGATCCTCAAGGAAAACATAGCATAAAACTTTAAAATTCTTGAGTTCTTTGATTAATAACATTCTTGCGAATCGCCCATTGAGTCGGACCATTTGGTGGAATATAATTCTTGTCCACCAATACCTACCGGCAAAATCTTTTGATCGTATATATTCTTTTAATGTGAAATTTGCACTAAATAGGACTAAACATAATTACTTTCCTAATCTAGGACTTAAACTTTTTTATTCTCTAAATAGGACTTAATAATGTCTTCGTGGAAGGAATAATGCCCAGTAATGATAGACATTACTTGAATAATGACTAAAGAATAATGACAAAAGGTCCTACATTCGGAAATAAAAACATATGGTCCTATTTTGGGAAAATCATTATGTTTTAGTCCTATTTAGGTAAATTACTCTTTTTTAATTGACGGTAAACTCACAATGACTGAGAAATCACAAGGATTTCTTCAACACATAATATGACCGCTAGCGAATCGTTGTCATGAATCATGAAGAAACTGTCTAATAAAGTTGTTTTGCAAGACTGCAAAGATAAAAAAATCTACTATTTTGCGGATGGTTATAAATGTGGTGTTTGAAGTGTTCGAAAAGATTAATGTTCTCTCACTCGAATGATAAATAAAAGATAAAAAATGTTGTGATTTTTGAATAATAAAAAGTGTAATTCTTTTTAAAACGAAAAAGGAGTATAATTATATAAATTATTCGATTATTGTCTCTCATTATAAATTGAAGAATAAATGAGTGCAGATAAATTTTATGTCAAATATTCATTTATTTTTCACTATATAAAAAAGAATAACACTATTTGTTATTCAAAAATCATGAAAATATTTGTTTATTTTGCATTTTAATTGATAAAGAGACTTTGATAAAATAAAATATTATTGTCACATCTCATTTATTTTTGACGTAATTCTTAAATATGTAAATTTTATTTATAATTTTCATTTCAATCTTTAAATAAAATAAATTTAAAAAATTTAAAATTTATTTCATCTTACATAAAGTACATAACCTTTTTGGATTAAACTATTTGTACCCTAAGATTTGTACCATAATTTGTACACCGCAGGTGTGCACTTACATTTATTTTGTGTCAGTGTAATACTATGATAATAGTTCACATAGACGCCAAATGTTAGTAAAAAAGTATGTTAATGCGTCATCATTTTGTGTTAGTTTGAATTATCAAAATATTAATGTATACTTTTGATATAACTTTGAAATACATTTTTTGTGTACGTGTAGTATGATTGAACATTTTTGGGGAGAAACTGAGAAAGAAATCAAAGAATTGAATGGAGATTTTACAAAATATGATTAGGTCCACATTCCTTGTGAACCGGTGCACTGATGCCGCATCATACCAAGAAATTTGTCGTTTATAGATTTAACTGGATTCACATGGGATGCCACGTTACATTGACTTGCCTTGAACTTTAATTATGTATTACAATAAATTTATAAAAATTATTACATATTAATGCAATAAAATAAATTCTATTTTTTAAAAAGGAAATTCATTAAATTAAATTGAAGTTGCAATAAAATCTAGGGGTGGTTCAAAAGATAAATCTTACAAGTATATTATAATTTTATACTTATATCCAATATACTCCGTAATTTTTATTTAGTTAATAACAAAATAAAATACACGGAATATATAGTTTGAAAAGAAAAGAGGGCATTAAGTCAAATTATCAAAAAATTATACTCTGTGTTAGCTTTATTTGAGAATAATGTTTTTAATTAATACGAGTATGTTGTAAGTTTTGGATTGTTGAGGAGTAACACTTAATTAATGTTAACATTTGGATAATTTTTTAATTGTGTCAATTAATTTTAAACATGTTAAAACTTATACTATTACATTTTTAAAATCATATAATTATAACAAAAATTAAAAATCTATGAAATGAAATGGATACTTTGTGTGTGTTTGAGAATATCATTAGATATTAGCGATAGCGTTTTAAAAAAGGTTATTTACATGTTAGCATTAGCATTTCAAAATAATCTACCCCATTAAATTTTACTCAAAACACTAACAGTAATTTTTAACGTTACCCCTTTATTTATTAACTTATCCTCGCTTTCGAGTAAAACTGTCGTCTTGTTTGGATAGAGTTAAATACTGTATTTTTTCCAATGCTCTGTAAAAAAAAATGTTCTTCTCGGAAGGGTATTTCTGGAAATGCAAACATACCATTCCTCTAATCTACTCCTTGGTACGGATAATATAAATTCCACCGGTATAATTGTCTCTTTCCTTCCTCACAACGCGTTCCCCTGTCTCGTTCCTTCTCCGACGTTTTGCGCAAGCGTAATCCATAAACACAGATCGATCAAAGAAGATGCTCGCAGTGTTCAACAAGTCGGTGGCGAAGTGCCCGGAGGCTCTTCAGAGCCCCCACGACGGATCTCCGGCGGCGGCGTCCGCCCTGAAAGACGGTTTCTTGGCGGGAAAGTTCTCCTCCACTCACTCCGGCTCCGTCTCCGTCAACCTCGGCGACTCCGGCGTCCTCGCCTACTCTTCCGATCGCCAGAACCCACTTCTCCCCAGGTTCATTTCTTTCTTAAAATCTGAATCTCGTTGAATTTCCATCAGCCTTTTCTTCAGATCTCGATTCTTGATTTTCCGATGAGTTTTCAGAGTCTGATTCAATGAATGGTTCTCCACGTCAGGTTGTTTGCAGTTGTGGATGACATATTCTGTTTGTTTCAAGGCCACATTGAGAATGTGGCAACTCTGAAACAGCAATATGGGCTGAACAAGGCAGCCAACGAGGTGATCATTGTGATAGAGGCATACAGGACCTTAAGGGACAGGGGTCCCTACCCTGCGGATCAAGTTGTGAGAGATCTCAATGGAAAGTTCGCTTTCGTCCTCTACGACAGCTCTTCAAAGGCTGCCTTCTTAGCAGCTGTGAGTGAACATTATTTCTGTTGTATTTGCATAGAAGGAATGTATAATTTGCAGGAAGTTTTTAAGAAGACTGTTTGATTGGTTTGGGACAGGATGCTGATGGGAGTGTGCCCTTCTTCTGGGGGTCTGATTCTGAAGGTCACCTTGTTCTCTCAGATGATGCAGACCTTGTGAAGCAAGGCTGTGGCAAGTCCTTTGCACCATTCCCCAAGGGTATGTTTTGATTATCTGTTGGCTATGTTGTTTAAATCCTCTGATTGAATTATTTTAATACCACTTGTGTGAACCTTTAGTGCATACCTATTTCGATATGGAAGTGGAAAACATATGCATGAAACCTTCTTCTTTTTTGTGCATGATTTTTGTAGCACTTTAGAAATATAATTTCATCATAAATTTTGTATCAAAGTTTGGTATGATGGTGGTGACTGAGGCAAGAGTATGGGACTCAAGGGCTCTATTTCAAGGGTAGAGATATAGACCAAACATGTTTTTTTACTGAATGTCATTAATGTAGAATGACACTGGTATGAGTCTCGGATTTGCTAATGGTATAAACTGAAATGGGTGCTGGTCATGGTCTGGTGTTACCCCATTCATTTGATGCTTCTTGCACTGATGGGTGGTCACTATGTTAATTTAGAATCTTCATACCAAGAGATACTCTATATTTACTACTCCGTATTTTATTTGTTTGACAATCAGGATGCTTTTTCACATCTTCTGGAGGCTTGAGGAGCTATGAGCACCCACTGAATGAGCTGAAGGCTTTCCCAAGGGTGGACAGCTCGGGCGAGGTGTGCGGTGCCACCTTCAAAGTTGACTCAGAGTCTAAGAAGGGGATGACCGGTATGCCCAGAGTTGGAAGTGCTGCAAACTGGTCGGAACACTACTAACACACCCCGCCTGCCCGCCCGACGTTTCCTTTTCATTTCCCCCCACATTTCACCATCTTGTTATGTAAATTGGTGCTGAATGTTATGGTAAACTGTGAAAGAGCCATTTCTGACATTTAATAAACTACTATCAGCAAAAAAAATAAAGAGTCTCAAAATGCATCATGCAAATTACACCCAGTTTTTTTTAGAAAGGAATTCTTCAAACAGTCTGAAAGCATTAAAATATACTATAGATATCACAATGTGATAGCGTATGAAGTTAATTAGCATGGTCGTCCCTGAGTCCTCACTCAGTCCTTGACATCTGCAATTCCACCTGGTGTTATCTGAAAAACGTGTTTTTTTGGTCAAGGAAACTTAATACGGCCCCTTGGTTTCAGCTAGTTACTCTATATTTACTTATATGCTCATATTGCAAAAGACAATATGAAATGCATATGTAAAAGTTTTGAACAATATACTCATATTGTTTAATATGAAGGATATAGCTTCGCTCTCGGGAAGATTGGGTGCATCAAAGACTTTGCAAACACGCTGCTCTCCTTTGCCCTTCCTGAACATAAGCCTTATTGTTGCAGCATGTGCGAGCACGTGACCTCCTGCAGGCTTCTTTGGGTCTGATATGAACACGCCACCTCCCGGATCGGCAATCACTGTAGTTGCCAATTCAAAGTAAAAAGGTTTTTAAGCAGAGCTGTCTCTTTGAATCCGACGAACGAAGCTCAAAAACGTGCTTCGTAGGAGAATACATTATACCTTGGTTGGTCATGTAAACAGCAACATTGAATTCCTCGGCGATTTTTATGAGTCTGGAGAGCATCTGAGCCAGCTTTTGCTGAAACCCAAAGCATATATCATGACACCCATCGTTCTCCGAAAGAATAAAAAATGATGCCGGACAGTCATAATATATATGTAGTACCTGGCGGTCAGCGAGTTCACCTCTTCCAGTGAAGTCCACTCGAAACAATGCAATCACGGAATCAACAATCTGTGTATCCATCAGAAACATGTAAGGAAACAATCTGTGTTACCAAATAGTCTTGAAAAATTGTAGTTTTTGACATCACCAGAAGTCTGAAAGGCTCTTCAGCCATCTTTGCTGCTAGACCAAGGAGCAGGTTGTACTGGTGTTCGTATGTGTATGCGCGGGCATATATGATCTTCACGTGTTGTGGGAAAAATAAGACAGAGAAGAGAGAAGAATTTAGAATCAGACTCAGTTAGGTAAGTACTTTATATGAGATAAGGGGAATAAGGTGTTTTACATTGTCAAGAACAGCTCCAGGATCCATGCCAAATCTCTCAGCAATTGGCAGAATGCGATCAGGTCGGCTACAAGTGAGTTTAGTTAAGGAAATAAGAGAAACACAATAGAAGATTTTATCTTGATTAATAATGGAGATCATCAGTACATAAACATTCAATTAGGATACAAAGTTCCCTCGGTGTCGATATAAGCAACCTTTCCATTTCCTCCTTTCATGCTAGTAGGAAGCTGTAATGGGATATTATCAAATGGAGTAATTAGCAATTTGAACCAAGTTCTTATTATTGGGGTTAAAATATAGAATTTCTCATAGATTTGTACTCATATGGATCAAAAGCAAACCTGAGTAGAAACACACAGAGTATGAGCCAGTTGTGTCTTCCCGGATCTAAGCAAAATGTTCATTGAGAAAGGAATTAGAATGATTAGTTGTTCTAGCAAAAGTTAAGTGAGGTTTTTGAGTTTAAATTAAATAAACACCTGAATTCCCCAAAAGCTTCAGTAATTGCAGAAGTTTCTATCCCCCCTAGAGAAATTCAAAAAGGTAAAAGATCCCAAAGAAGTTACCATGATCTGATGAGATAAAATCAGATAGAATTATGAAAATTTTACCTCCTAAGAGTTCATCCAGAGCCTGACTTCCAGTCGTAACACGAACTATTGACTTTCTCTGCAAAAAGAAGTGTTTCAATGTCTGCTCATAGCTAAGCTTTATAATTCATGCACTCCTATCAAGAGGTACAGCATAAAAGATTTCAAGGAAGTCTTATTTGCAAGATTTGATCAAATAATAGTATCTCATGCATGTTGCTAGGTCAGTGGATTTTGGTTTGAAGTGAAATACAACTATACTAGGCTTACTTTAAGCAAAGCATCACTCCCAGTAATGTAACCGAAGTTCTGAAAAGAGTATCAAAGAAGAACGTTTAGTATGTGCATAAGTTGATGGACTATCAAAGGATGGTTCAATTTTTCAGAGTTTTGACTATCAGCAAATGATATCCTAACCACTATCTTCTCTGCAGCTTCACATATCTTATCAACTTTGGCCTCAGATAGTCCTTTGATTCCTGTCAAGTTCTGCAAATGATACAAAGAGAGATCTAGTCTTAAAACCAAATAATGAACAGAGCCAAATTTCAGCAAGGGAAAGAGCCTTCTCACCTTTTTGGTGTGCATCATCAATCCATTGCAGGTGTAGATACCTGCATCCTGAAGCTTCTTCACATCCCCAGCATTGATTCCATGAGTGATCACTGTTTACAAGTTCAATGAAGTTATGCACATGAAAGAGGAACTTTCAATTGTTCAACACTTCAAAAGTTCAAATGAAGTGACAGAGAAAAAAACGAGAAAACAAATACTTCATAGAATCACGGGGAATTTGCTTCTGCGTTTAAAGTACAAGATGATAAGTTGAGTTCAATCACATCTCTAGGCAATTAGGAATGATAATTGATAAGACGAATTATTGAACATGAAACATCGGCAATCAGCCCCAAAAACTAGAACCCCTACACAGAATTCAATAGAAGCATAGAATCTGAAATATCAATAAGTTAACCACTTCTCTAAGGCATTATGTCTAAATTATGATTACACAAATCACAGGCGATGACATTCCAGCAGTTTAATGTGGAAACCTAGAGCGCCAATCAAAAATCAATAGAAACATTTAAGCCTAGCTACATATCACCATAATCGGAATGATCTGAAAATGAAAACAACGAAGAAATCTGAGCAGCTTGTATAGGGTCAGCCTATGTCCAAACAGTCTAGTAAGGATTCACTCCATTTCTGAACGAATTACAGCACGTACTTCACACATTTCAGTAGCAAAAGCTCATCATATATAAAATTGCACCGAATTTTCTCATGACGATTCCTCCAAACCAGGAAACAGAATTAGAACGAGGAGATATGAGCTCCATCACATAATTGCCTAATCAGCTTTCAACCGATCATCCTTGATCTATTCCGGAATTAAAAACAAACCGGAACAGAAGTAGATTCGTAAACCACGGAAAACGATCGAAATTTTGAAGACGCAGTTCGCGAACAGAAAAAAAAGAGAGTAGCGATACGACTCCAGAAAATACCACAAAAATAAGGAGAAAACGGGAACGGATAAAAACAGAGGAGATAATTGAATGCAGTAATAACTCCATTACTTACATTTATCGATAGCTTCGAACAGGTCTTCTTCATCGTCGATCTCTTCTCGTTCCACAAGCTGCAGCTGCTCTTCCGATCTGAGCTCGAAGCCGAAAAAAAACATCAATAATCCACTGTCTAACGAATTCAAAATGGACGAGAATTTTAAGCAGAAGAGAGTAATTGAGGAATCAAACATTACTTGAACGATTGCATTCCCGGTTATCTCGACTTAGCACCAGAAAGGACTGAAATTTAAAAATTGTAGAGAGAGAGAGAGGGGAAGCGAGTTTGTTGCAACAAAATTGGCGCGGGTTTCAGGCGTGAGAATGAAAATGGGAAGGAGAGTCCGCATTTGGGCAGTTTTATACCCAGATAAATTTACTCCGGCCATGTCCCGTTTGTACAGTCTGATTTTTTAAAAATAAAATTAGAGGAATGTTATTCCGTAGTAATCAATTACGGAGTATATTATTATTATTATATTAAATCTATATTATTTATTATCATAATAAAATAAATTTTAAAAAATTTCTGCAAAATAAATCAGTTTTGTACTAATAGCATGCAATATGAGTAACTTTTATTTAATAAATTCAAGTTTATCTCGACCAACCAAACTAATCTCGTGTCGCCAAATTTACATACACTAAAATAATTGCAAGTTGTGGTGTATCTCACAAAAATAATCAGAAATTTTAAACACTTTAAAAATAATACGAAGTAATTAAACTGCTACATTATGAAAAGAAAAATAATCACCCAAACAAACTGGATAAAAAAATTCATCTTTATTCGTGTTTGAGAATTTGGATATTATAATTTCGATGTACCGTATTACGGAGTATTGTATACTCGTCATGTACATTTACAAGTTATGCACAGTACTCATTTTACACATTTAGCTTTTTACATGTCTTGAACATGCACATCATAAAAGTAATGTATTAGAATATTTGACAATGTTAATTTGTTTTGCTAAAAGTTTATATATTTTGTTGCTAAACATGCATAAAAAAGTAAATCACACAACATCGTTAATTTAAGGTAATCTCACTCAATTAAAAATGTACTATATATTATTTAAAAATTTAGAAAGTGCGCTTGTAAATAAATTATTTTATAATTCTATTATGACTATTTATAAGAAACCAAAATTTAACACAAGTTAATATCGTTTAAAAAAGAAATTTACAGAAGAAAATCTAATAAATTTATTCATTTAACATTTTATATTGACTTTGTAATAATAACTAAAAGAAATGGGAGCGTGCAAAATAAATACTTCGACCAAACCCAAAATTGACGGCGTGCCAAAGAAATTTGACTCAAATCTGATCAAATTCAAACCCAACCTAACTGATCTTCTAATGTAATAATTTTTCAAAATCATATACTTTAATACGAAAAAATGTAATAAAAATAAGGTTACGTTTTAATTTTTCTTGTTAATCATTTTTAAAGTATAAACTGATATTTTGAAACCAATTTTTAATGATATTACATACTTTGCCTCCGTCCCAAGTAAATTTTCTCATACACTATTATCGTATCTCGATAATTTATGTTTGTATGCATGTTTTCATTGATCATTTCATTCATAAAATAAAATATTTTTTGTCACATTTTATTTTTATAAAACTTTTGTCATAGTTTGGAATAGTGTAATTAGTACTTTTTATTTATATACCAATTTATAAATAAAATTATTTCAAAAAAAGAGGTTTTACATTTTATTCAAAGTGGAAGATTAATTTGGGATAGAAGGAGTAATTATCTTATATTTTTCAAAAGTGACACATATTTAATCTTTTATACTATTAAAATTTTTGTTAAATATATTTTAAAAAGTAATGAAAATATCCTAAGAGGTGTAAAATATATGTATTTTGATACTATATCAATATTTTTGATGCAAATGCTAGTTTAGTTTATTAAATATCCTGAAAATAAATTTCATACCATGTTGAATCGGCGCAAACTCAAAAACATTGAATAATCGTGAGTATGTAGTTTTCGATTCGAACCCAAACTTACCAAAATGTGATGTGATAAAACCCAAACTATAACTTTTTTAAAATAAATGTGGCAAAATATAAATAGCAGCAAAATTTCCCTCCTTTTTATGTCAGACATAACTAGCCCAAATATTGAGAAACAAATAAAAGACGAACGGATATCCAAAAGAAAAGTTTAAAAATGATTGGGAAATTGTTTAAGGCCGTGAAGAGAGAAAATTTGTTTAGGGCCGGGCTTTATTGGATTACAAATCATGGACCATGAATTACACATAGAACACTGTTCATAGCCCACACACTGTGCCTATTATTTATTTATTTTTTTATAAAATAATTTATTTACAATCACACTTTGTAAAATAACTAATGACGTAAGCTATGTTTTTGTTGAGTGATATTGACTTAAATTACTGGTGTTGAATGATTCACTCTTTTTTTCTTGTTTAGCAATAAAAAATATAATTGAAAAATTAACAATGTCAAATAAATTATTTTTATGAAGTGCATAGTCAAATTGTGTAGAAAAAATAAATATGTATGAATGAGAATTGTACAATTTGTAAATGTACATATGAAAAATATATCAAAAAAATGTGTTTCCAAATTAATAAATAAGTAATGAGAAGATTTATGAGAACAAATAAAAAGGTCTAATTTGAAGATCTATGATGAACGAAGGAAGTAAATAAAAAGGGGGTAAGATGCAATATTTTACAAGCCTAAATCTCCTTGATATGAGGAAAAGAGTATGCAAATAACAAAATAGGAGTTCTAAGTCTTTTAAGACCAAAATAAAAATATAATAGCAGTGTGGTGTTAGATTACGCATTAGCAGTGTTATGAAAAATTGATGACAATGTAATGTATCAGTATGATCAGTCAACGGTCGGTGATTCACAGTGGCACTCTGGTGGCCAGTGGCGACGGATGGTAGTGGTAGCTTATTACTCCCTCCGTCCCGGAGTATTCGTCCAGTTTTGATTTTTGGAACTGTTCATCTAAGCACTTTGACTCATCAAATTCTCTCAATGTGTAAGCTTAAATATAGTCATGTGTGATCTTGTTTGATTTGTCTTAACATATAGATTATTAATATATAATTTCTATAAATTTTTAATATTCAAATTACAAGATAAAATGGATTAAAGAAGTGTATTGGATGGTGTGTAAAAATGAAAGTGGACAAATACTTAGGGACGGAGGTAGTAGAAGTTAAAATGTAAAAATGTAGTGAGTGTGACAATGTAACAATTACAACGTGAACTCCTATTTTAGCTTTAAAAGACTTATAACTTCTGTTTTAGTATTTTTCATAATTTTTTCACTCATATCTAGAGAGTTCTCTCTATTATACTCCGTAAGTGTTTTGATCTGGCGTATAAATAGAGTAGAATAATTATATGGCCTTTGGCGCAGGGCTAGAGGGCGCCCCATCATGAATGCCCTAACTCTTTCAAATATTTTCTTACTCTCTTGATTTTTTATGGAGTAACATTTAGAGTATCTTATTTAGATCTTAAAGTCTTAACTTCGAGTTTCTTCCCATCAGTTCTTATTCATTATAATTTTTTCTAGTTTCTCTTAGTTTCTTTCAAATCTTTTAGTTTTTCTAATTGTTTTTAAGTATTTTCAAATCCCTAAAGAATTGCTCTAAAAAATTCATATTATTTTTAGTATTATCTCCACTATTATTATTATTATTACTACTACTATTACTAGTATTATGTTCATAACTATAGTTTATAAATTAATTTATTTTTTATTTTTCCCATGTCACTATTTTTGCTGTTAACAGTCACTATAATTTTTTATTTAACTTTTTTAGTATAAATAATACATTTTTTTGTTTACTAATCATAAAATAGAAAAACATCATAGTTTAAACTATATTAAAAATAACGAGTTCTATGTTTTTATTTCTAAAATAGGACTTCCACTGCAAATACAATGTCAAAGAAAAAATAGATTTGATTACATTACGTGATAAGGATGTTATTTAAAACAAAATCTCTTAATATATAAAGTATAATTACAAATGTTTTATAGAATATTTTATAATAAATATTGCATACATAAATTGAGTTGCAACGTAACTTTAATAACTTTTTAAAATTAAATATTTTAATATTTATGCTAATTTTACATTCTAATTAAAAAAATTGTGAAAATATTTTTTGTGCATAAAAATGACAATATTTTTTTATCTAAAAGATATTGATTAACATAATGTAATTATGAATGTAATAATAATAATAATAAATTATAACAATAAAGTAATAATAAGGACAATTTTTAAATCTTTTTTAGATCTTCCAATTTTTTCTAATTTTTCCATTTCCATCTAATTTATTTTAGTTCCTTCCAGTTTCTTTTCGTTCTTTTCAATTTGTTTTAGTTCCTTCCAGCTTTTTCCCATATCTTTTTTCCTGTCGTTAAGAACTGATTAACTTTTTTTTACAACTTCTTTTGAATTTCTTCTATTTTCCGCTGTTTTCTCAACGGGCTACTAGGATTAGAGTTAAAAGCCCGAAAGAGAGCCCTTCACAGACCTAATCAAAATCAAATACGGAGTACGTAGAAATCGGATTAAAGTTTAGAATTATTGTACTCCCTTTTTCTTATATTAATGCTCTACAAATCACAATTGACCCATCATGAAGATTAAAAAACCAAATTCATTTGTGAGAAAGTGATGAAGAAAAAGAAAAAAAAAGTTTATAAACGACAAAACATTTGCTTAATGAAAAGGGGAGATATAACTACATATTTATTAAGGCTTTCTTTGGTATACAAAATTTAAATTATGAAATTGGATTTGGAGACAACAGTTCCAATTTTGGTATTTAGTAGCACAAAAATGCGTGGATTGGAAATTAGTAGTGCCAAAAATGAAATGGAAGTGGAGAATTCAATCTCATTTAAATCAATTATATTAAATTTTAACTCCAATTCAATTCCAATTCTGTGTACTAAATAGATTTTTAAAACTTGTTGGCCAAAATAACAAATGGAAAAGAAATTTGTGAGCGGTCTTAAAAAAGTGAGAAAGAAACTGAAGGTTAGATAGAGTACTATGAAAGATAAAATCTTACTCCCTCCGTCATGAAAAAAACATGAGAGTTTTGATTTTGAAGAGGGATTTAAGGGGAGTGTATTTTGGTATTGAATTTCCAAAAATGTCCTTTGATGTGATGGGTAAAAGGTAGGATTTGATGGATAGATTATTACTCCATCTGTCCCACAAAAAAGTTCCCATTTGGATATATTTTTGGTCAAACAGTTACACACTTTGACCATAAATTAAATATAATTTAAATAAAGAAATGCTAAAAAAATTTGAGATATCAAAACTAGATCCTAAGATAAATCCAATTATATTAAATTTATTTTATAATTCAATATACCTTTCTCACAATCTGTAGTCAAAACGTGTAAATATTTGACTAAATTAATACTATTCAAAATGAGAACTTTTTTGTGGGACGGAGGAAGTAGTAAAAGGATATGATGTGATAGGTAGGGTATGAAAAAGTAAGAGGTAAAATTGACTTTTTAATAGAAATGAAAAGTGTTTTTTGAGACGGATGAAAAAAGAAAGGATAAAAGTTTTCAAAGACGAAGGGAGTATTTTAAAACGAATAAGAAAAACAAAAAACATTGTGGAAATTTATGATGGGAGGGAGGGAAGAGAGGGTGTATTTCCCATAAAGCCCCTTTGCATAACCAAATCGTCCCTATATAAACGACCCCAGACTCAGCCCTCCTCACACCAAATGCAACGAGAGCATCTTTCTCATTCATAGCTTTCTTCTTCTACTACTAGTATTATTCTAATAATTATAACCAAAGATTATTCTTAGTATTAGGGTTTCTGGTTTCCCTAGTGAAACATGTAGAGAGAGTATAAGGAAGATTATCATCATCATATCATATCATATGGCTTGGAATGGAACACGGGCGTGCACCTTTACCGGTTGAAGCTGCCAGCATGATCTTATCGGAGTTCCCCCCGAGGGACAGATCAGATCATGCTGGTATCTTCACCCGTTACTCGGTTGCACGAAAAACCCTATTTTTATTTTTTCTTGACAAACCCTAAAAAACTGCTGCAATTCTTTTCTATTGTCTTTCTCTGATGCCGAATCTGTATATATATATCCGATGTTTCTTGTCTGATTATATAATGTTTATATATGTTTCCATGGTAAAATTGAAGAATAATGTTTTAATTCATTGATTTATAAGATTTTCTGTCTGTTTCCAAGGTAAATAAAACATCAGATGCTGGAAAAATCTGTGAAGAATATGAAGTTTGCTGTTTTTTCCTGGTAAGAAAAAAGTTTTAAGCTTGGCAATTCACTCCAGTCTAATTTTTTTATTTCAAATTAGATTGCAGATTTAATTTGGATGAAACATTTTTTTTTTCAATTTGATTTTTTAATTTGTGATGTAAAAAAAGAACATTCTCTCTCCAATCTCCAGTGTCATTCATCCATCAACTCAACTGTTTGACAAGTTGCATAATGGGGAAGCAAAAAAGATAGAGACAGAGAACGCCTGGAGAGCTCATTATTGTTATTTCGAAGTCTTTTCTTTTTTTTTTAATTTTAGACCTACGACTTTTTTTTTTAAAGTCCCCAATTTTGACTTAAGAATCATGTATTACAAGTCACAAAAGATGTGTACAATTATCATGTCTCGTAATAATAAAGCATCAATGTAATTTTATTGCTTTGTTCTCCCTCTTTCTGCTTGGAAATTTGCAACTTTCATTTGTATTAATGCCTTGTTTTGATATAATACTAGAAATTAGTGTTAGTGTTTTGAATAAAAAGCTTTAAAAATGTTAATCCTAAATGATGTTTCTTGATAAATTTTTTTAAAACGCTAACGTTAATTTAACGTTATTTACCAACAAACTCTTTAGTTTAAAAGAGTTAATGTAAGTATATTGGAGGAAATTAAAGTACAAAATTCATAAGCTTTTCAAAGTCCAAAAGAAAACACTTTATTATTGTTTTTCTCAATCAATTTTTTTACTCCATCCGTCCTATATCTTTTTTCTCGTTGCGCAAAAGGAAAAAAAATCTCAAGTTTTTTCAATCTATTTTATTTAAATATTGGTATAAAAATAAAAAATAAAATATGCATATTTAAAAACTACATCAAAAGTTCAACAAAACAAGTGATGACAAGAATATTTTATTTTATCATATAGGCCATGAAAAAACACAAATAAAAATAAATTCCCGTGAAGTTTGAATAGTGCTCAGGGAAGAAAGTTGTAGGACGGAGGGAGTAAAAAAAAGAAATTTGTTTTGAATGTTTACGAACCAGATCTATAGCTTATTCCCAACAAATTTAAAATTAGGGTTTAATTTTGTTATATGGTCCCAAATTGACATGTGATGGACATGGACGTGGCTAGGTGTTTGTACAAGTGAGTAATGACAAATTACAACTATGGGTCTATGGAAGGTTAAAGAAAGGGTACCCCTAAGGGTAGAGGTAGGGGTGGGGGTGGGGTATGATCTCAAGATCCGAATGACAGAAACGGAACAGTGAATTGAAACAAAAGTGGTGTCATATTTGAAGATTCCATTATCATCTAAATACATCAACAAGAGCCAAATCTCTCCCTATCTAACGTACCTATGTCCTATAAACGTTTATTTATGCCTTTTTTTTGCATGACACTTTTTTCTGAATAAAACTATGCATATCTCAAAGATTGTACTCTTAAAATGTATAATAACGATTCATACATATATTTGGTGTGAATATATGTGTGAGATTGATATTTTACATTGACATAAAATATCAGTGGAAATTTGTAATCACACTAATACTTTATGTCAATGTAAGCTATCAAAATATAAATATAAATTTTTTGAGTACAATTAATATTTATGATTCACCTACGGCAAGGTGGTTCATTTGAAACTTCTCCAGTGCTCCAAATAGAAAATTAATTATTCTTACCGCCTTAACCTCTCCCTAAATTCGACATAGCACCCTATCTCAGCCCGACCCCTACACCCCTACTCTAGACCTCCTTTTACCCCATCCAAATGTGATTATTATGCAATGCAAATATCCACACATTTGGAGGGTGTAAAAGAAGAGCCCAGAGTAGGGGCGTGTGGGTCAGGTTACGGTGGGGTTCGGGTAATTAGATAGGGGAGCAGACACTTTTACTTTTACAAACGAAGAATCGAAAAAGCTCTAAATAAGCAAGTGTCATCCGTTGACACAAAATACTGACATTGGTATCCAGTGTCAACATAACCTTGTCAATTCACCTAGCATGGTTTTTCTTTAATTTTTTTATCAAAACACAATTCAAAATTTAATTTTTAATTTAAATAAAATAAACATTGGCTGGGTTTTTAGAGGGTTAGAGATCTCGATAAGAATGGCTTTATTAGGAAGTGATTCAAATAAAAAGTATACAAAAATCCAATGCTTTCTTTAATCTGTGGCAGTTTGTGTATCCCATATTTACAGCAAGATTTGGTGTAACACATTAAATGCGGGGGTCTGACTTGGCGATTTTTACCCGTTACTCGTAACAACTCGATCCGAAGTACCATCCATACGTTAAGATCTCGTTTTGGACTGTTTTCGAGTTTAAATCCTATCAATGTGTTTAGGATTCAAATTAAATCTTTTATAATTACATTTTCATAGATAAAAAGTATGTAAAATTTTTGATGTGGTTTTAATATATGTATTTTTTATTTTTATATCAATTTTTATTAAAAAACCCCTTAACTATGAGCAAAACATGTATAGTATCTCAAAAATAAGACTTCAAATTTAAACTTGATGTGGTGCCATTTTTTTCTATTATGTCTTTCTTTGACACAGTATTGATAACTAATGTGGCACATCACTGCGACGACGACAGTGTAAATTGTGATGCTAGTGTGGGCAAAAATAAGCAAGAGTGGTGGTGTCAATGGTGACAATTAAAAATAAACAGCAACAATGGTGAGTTTTAACAGCAATACCGCAACGGCGGCCGAGATTCAAGTGATATGGCAGGGACACGTCAATGGTGGCGGTAGTGGGCGTCGATGTCAGCAACATGTTTGCGGTGGAGTGCCGTTGCTAAATTACTTTTTTTAGTTTTGGAAGCATGGCGGATGGGCGCGTGGGGATAGAGCTGTGCGAGAATTGTATCGACGAGTTGTGCGCTAAATAAAGTGATTTACCGGTAACGGCCATTTACTCTTACGTTGCTCGTTAACCTTTCTTATACGGAGAATAAAATAAATATTGAAATTTTACATGGTTTTAGTTTAATTAGAGTTGTGCTTCCATAATCCTAAGGTTGACATGTGACATGTAGCTAAACCCTCTCACATTTTTAGTGTGTCGATATGGTGATCTTTAATTTGTTCAAAGAGACCAATTTATTTATGTTATTTATATATTACTGTAAGATTTAGAAAATGAGTGTGAATCTTAGAACCACGCAAAAATTTGTTTGAGTCAGAGCCAGCCCTGAAAATAAAAAAATAAAATTGGTCGGGTCCAAAATTTATATTTGGGACCTACTTTATTTTTTAAAAACACTTGTATGCTTTAAAATTAATGTCGAATTTAAAAATATTAGGCCCAAAAATATTAGGTTTGAATCATTTTGAAAGGGACATAGCATTAACTTTTATACACGGATTCAGTAAAAAGAATTGGAAATAATATTAAATGGATGACTAATAAGTAATTAGATTCTTTCGCTTTTGTAACGCTAAAGATCTATTTGGTTAATGAGTTACGGAGGATAAAGGAAAGAAATTGCTTATTGGTTCATGATTTACGGAGTATAAAGGAAAGAAATTATTTCCTCCTTCTCTAAATATTTTTTTACTTTTGATTTTTTCAGTCAAAATTAATAAATTTTGACTCCAAACTAAATAAAAGTGATATAAGATATTGATATAAAAATAATTTTATAAGATTTATTTTATAAAATATTTTCAAAATATTATTATTTTCAATTTAATTACAGGTTGAAAATGATTCACTGCAAAAAATCAAAACTGAACAAATATTGAAAAAAGGAGTATAACTCAAAAGGAAAGAAAGATGCTAAGAACCAAAGACAACTCCGTTTTTTTCCTATTTTGTTTCAAATATACTCCGTATATCGATGTTTTTTTAGATATCTTATAATATACTTTCATTCAAAAATAAACTTTACTTATATATATATATATATATATATATATATATATATATATATAGTATACGCTTTTTCGAGCGCCAAATAATCTTAAAAGAATTGATAGCGTCTGAAGTCTTGTACTCCCTCTGTCCTAGAATATTCTTCTTTGATTAATAACGTATTCATTACATCTTACTTTTTACCTATAAAATTTATCCTTTCTTACTTTTATCCAGAAAGTCAACTCTAAATAATCCTTTCTTATTTTTGTATAAAATTATTATAGGGAGTATTTATTGGAAGAGAGTCATTATAGTATTGGGACCAAACCAATTCAAGTCATTTGAGTCACAAGGGAATTGAATCTCTTGTAAAATTTGGATGATACATATAGACAACATTGATGCATGTATAGGCCATAGCTAGGTAAGATGGTTGACCCAAATTTGAGAATATTATTAGCCAGCCAGCCAGCCATTGGTAAGCTAAGGCTAGGCAAGGGGAACTGAACTGGTTAGTAATAGTGGGCGGTTAGTTAGCCTGGCCAATGAATTAAATTAAGGAGCCCGTTGGGTGGCTATAGCTAGCTGCTAGCTCAGTGGGACGACGACAGCCCCCCCTCCCTTTACAGCACTTAAACATGCCTAAAACGCCATTTTTAATACATGCATGAGATGTCAATATCTGTCTGTCTACTTGGCTGCAGTCTACATTTTTCTTTCTTCTGGTGTGGACGTCTTATAGCCAGGTCTACATACCTAGCTTCCTAGGCCTACTTTAATTTAAACTTTCTTTAAACAAAAAAAAAAAGATGAGTCCCATATATACGTGGGTCTCTCAGACCCGGCCGAACGGTCACTGAAAGGAGGTAAATTGGAATTTGATCGTAGATCAGTGGCCAAGAGTGGAGCTGCACCTGGTACTTGCAGAGGTCCTATGTTTAACATAGTTGCCTCCCAGCGCAGTTGCCAAGAATCGTACTCGGGTCTTACTCCCTTGATACTTCTTGACTTTGCTAACTGCACAATATATACTCACCGGCAAATTTTTTCTAAACAAAATATGCCGGCATGGGTATCTCAATGTCAAGCCCATAGATCTTGGTGTCGAATACCGACAGAAGCAGTGTGGGAGTTATATTATTTGTAATAGCTCCTCGTGCACACCGGGCACAAGAGAATCTCTCTAAAAACCAGATTAAGATTATACCATGATTTATCTTTCACCATTCGGTCAGATCGAGGTGTTGGGTGCACCCGGGGTGGACGTTCCACGTACCTTTTTACTATGTAAATTTTGCACTGAATAGAACTAAAACATATATCATTTTCCAATATAGGACTAAAACTTTTTTATTCCCTAAATAAAACTTAATAATGTCTAGTAAGAAGAATAATGACCAAGTAATGCTGGACATTTAGTTAAATAATGACTAATAGATAATGACCAATGGTCCTACATTGAGAAATAAAAACATATGGTCATATATTGTGAAAGTCGTTATGTTTTAGTCCTATTTAGGTAAAT